ATCAGCTCAAAATTGATAGTCAGTGTAAAAACGTATAAATTATACCAAAGGAGATATCTCTACTAGCAATTTTGATGAAATTTGGCTGAAAACAATTCTAGCCATTGCTTTTTCTAAATTAGCTCGTTTTTAAAATGCTCATAACTCAAAAATTATATGTCAGAAACAGCTCAAACTTTCTACAAACATGTAGCATAAGGACATCGATATAAAAAGATGTATGTCAAAAAATGAAACAAAAATTGGGGTGAATTTTTTGAAAACAAGAAAAGACTATAATCCATGGTCTTTGGCCCCATTTTGGAGCAACTTGAAAAATTGGTGAAAAATCCAATTTTGATCAAAATCACCTCAAATTTTTTTTACAAAACATAAAAAAACATGTGCATACATGTATGTACATATCAGGAAAAACTAAATGCATGTCTAACCATTTTTGGGAAAATACCCTGTACTGTACACTATAGTTGAAGAGACTTTGGAGCAAATAGCCATCAAATACAGTACCGCTCAGCTATAACTTTACTTTTACACTCGTGATGTGTACACGATAAGTAAAGTTATAGCTGAGCTGTACTGTACTTGTACATGTACTCATTTCACTTACTGAAAGTATAAAGAATAGCTCTACAAAGATGGCCCCAAATGGAAGGATCCCGGCAACAGTGGAGCTAAGGAAAGGACTGAGATACCAGGGCTGGTCGGGGATCTGTCGGGGGATCTGATTGGTCCGGACCGGGTGCTCGTAAGGCTGCTTGCGATATCCGAAATAAAACCCGATAAAAACAAGAGGGAAGGAAATACCAAACCAGAGGAAGAGGAGGGCAATCATTGTCGTGAATGGAACCTAGTGAGAGGACATTGTGTAAAAAATTAGAAATTAAAAAAAAGAAATTATATAATCATTGTTAGATCTAGAAATAAATTTTAGGAGACCAATAATCTAACTAAAAAATGGAAAATCTAGACCAAATATGGAAGACCATGCCTCCTAAAACTCCCCTTCTAGATCCAACAGTGAATTAATAATTAAAATCAATCTGTGTTCCTTACCGCTCCAGATGAATGCTTGCCCCAAATGAAGAAGTTCAATAGAAATCCAATACCAAAAATAACAGAAGGATACAGCACTGCAGTCTATCAAAATGAAGTTTAGTATATCTCAGCATACCTTAGTAAATCCCAGTAAATTAGCATTACAAATTATGCAGGTACATGAATGCAGTTATTAATTTTTAATTTGTTTTAAACTCACCAAAGTGGCCGCCATCTTCCACTCATTTCCTTTAAGTGTTCTGAACATCCTAGCGGCGTGATAGCCTGATATAAGCCTAGTAGAGCAACAATAAATAATAATAATAATAATAATAATAATATATGCACTCATAAATACATTTATATCTTCTTATTTTCAATTTATCTTTAAAAATTTCATAATAATAAATAATAATAATAATAATAAAGAATAAGGTCATGGATTATAACTGGATGGTATTTACAAGTTTATGTTTTACTACTAAAAGATGCATGTTTTGCACTGAAACAGGACATGTACATGTACATGAGAAAAAATTTCAATAGGGTACACTTCAAGGACTCAACATTACAATAGTACAGTAGCCACACACATTAATACTCCTAGCAGCTCTTACCCCATAAACATGAACAGCACAATACTGGCAGTCAATAGAGCACCACGACTAGCAGGACTCAGCATACCAAACATTGCAAATGCTAAGGGAGAGAGAGAGAGAGAGAGAGAGAAGAGAGAGGGGAGGAGAGAGAGGGGGAGAAAGAGAGAGGGAGAGAGAGAGAGAGAGGGAGAGAGAGAGAGAGAGAGAAGAGAGAGGGAGAGAGAGGGGAGGAGAGAGAGGGGGGAGAAAGAGAGAGGGAGAGAGAGAGAGAGAGAGAGAGAGAGAGAGAGAGAGAGAGAGAGAGAGAGAGAGATGAG